CCTGCTCCTCTGATGCTGCTTGGCCTGCTGTGTTCATCCAGCTCTACACTTTGTTATCTCAGATTCTCCAGCATCTGCAGTCCCTACTATCTCTGAAATATCTTTTTAATTCACCTGTTTCCGTTTTCCTGTCTCTTACATCTTTTCAAAGTCCATACATGCAACACGTATGTCATCATTTTTACCAGTCCGCTTCAATATTTCATCCAAACTGTTTAATCATGTTAGTTGGACATGACGTGTCTTTCAAAAAGCAAACAGATCCTGTAATGGCTGCCCCTCAATAGTTTTTATTTGGACTAAGCATGAACTGAGTTTGTCCTTGACAATTGCCACTAGCTGTTTTCCCAGCACGCTGGCCTTTAGTTACCAGGTTTATCCTCCTGTTTCTGAATAGGAATGTAATGTATAAGTCAGTTATCCATGGTCCTGGCATATCTTCTTTATCCAAGGAGGACTGAAAGAAAGATTGGGGTCAGAACCTATGCTCCATACTTGGTTCACTCATCAACTTTAGATGCATTCCGTCTGATTTGGTTGGCTTCTTTATTTTGATTGATGCTGACTTATTTACACTTCCTTTCCATTGTTTTCCTTTCCTTCTTTATAGCAACATTAGCTGATCCTTATCCTTTGAAGAGACACTCATTCAGTTCTTGAAATGCCCTTTGTCTCCAGAAGGAGAAAAAAAATCCTTCTTCGACCTGAATTGAATCCAACATTAACAATAATTTTATATTGTATACGTTTATAACAGATTTTGGGGTTGACTTTTATTTTGACTGTTTGACTGTTATTCTTTCCTTATGTGCTGTTTTTATTCTTAAATCCTTTCCCAACAGCCCCCTGCACACTTTGTATACTGTCTGGTGTTCAATTATATTCTACACCTGTCAATTGCTACAAGCCTCCTTGTGTTTTGCTATTTTAATATGTGCTTCCATTGTCATCAAGGGCATTTGGATGAGATAGGCTGCTTGGGGTAAAATTTTTGGATTGTATCTGAACAATCTCCACTTTGAAGGCCTACTTATTGCTTTTTTAACATTTCTTTTTTTTTGTTTCCAGTCCACTGTGTTAGTTTTCTTCCCAAATAATTGAAATCAGGAGCCTTCCAATCATTGATTTTCATTTTTGATCATCTTATGCCCTTTTCTATTGCTACTTCAAAACTAATGTTATTGTGATCTTGATTACCCAGATGTTCTCCCACTGAAATCTGTTCCACTTGCCTGACTTAATTCCTCAGAACTAGATTTTAGAACTGCTTCCTTAGTTTAATATATCATTATTCATGTATTAAATCAGGCAGAAGAAAACATTCTGTCATTTAAGTTTTACTGTCAAAGTACTTCAGTCTACACATTGGTTTCTATCTTTCCCTTTTCAATACCCTCCCTCTCCAGGAGCGAAACTTGTTCTGGAGAAAAACCGAGGTCCTAAGGACAAACTCCTATTGGAGATAACACAGTGTGGAGCTGGAGAAACACACAGGCCAGGCAGCATCAGAAGAGCCGGAAAGTTGACGTTTCGGGTTGGGAACCTTCTTCAGAAAGGGGGAGGGGGACGGGGAAGGGAGCTGGGAAATAACTAGAAAGAGGAGGGGTGTGGCTGGGAATGGTAGGTGGGATGGTGATAGGTGAGTGCAGGTAGGGAGTGGTGGGGATTGGTCAGGGGGATGGGTGGGGCGGATAGGTGGGAGAGAAGATGGACAGATTGTGTCAGGGCAAGGAGGAGGGGACGAGAGGGAGGGTTGGAAATGGGATAAGGCTGGGGGTGGGGAGATTTTTAAAATGGTTTCCATATTTAGGCCATCTGGCTACAGGCTCCCGAGAGGCAATATGAGGTGTTGTTCCTCCAGTTTGCGGGTGGCGTCATTGTAACACTGGTGGGGTCTCAGGGTGGACATGTCACCCAGGGCGTGGGAGGGGGAGTTAAAATGGTTGGTGACCGGAAGGTGTTGTCGTTTGTCATGTACAGAGCACAGATGCTCTATGAAGCGGTCTCCGAGCCTACGCTTGGTCTCACCGATGTAGAGGAGGCCACATTGCGGGAGCAGCAGATAGAGTAGACCAAGTTGACGGTTGTACAGGTGAACCCCTGTCAGATATGAAAGGTTTGTTTTGGGCCTTGAATGGAGGTGAGGGGGGAGGTGTAGGGGCAGGGACAGCATTTCCTGCAGTTGCAGGGAAAGGTGCCGGGTGTGGTGGGGTTAGTGGGGAGGGAACGAGGGAGTTGCGGAGACAGCAGTCCCTTTGAAAGGCAGATAGGGGTGGGGAGGGAAATATCTCTTGGTTGTGGAGTCAGATTGTAGGTGGCAGAGAATGATATGCTGGATGTGGAGGTTGGTGGAGTGATATGTGAGGAGAAGGGGGAATCTGTCTTTATTTTTGTTGGGGGAGGGGTTGTGAGTGCAGAAGTGTGGGAAATACAAGAGATGCGGTTGAGGGCATTTTTGATCACTGGAGCGGGGGGCGCAGTTACAGTCCTTGAAATTGGAGGACATCTGGGATGTTCGGGAGTGGAACACCCCATCTTGGGGCAGACGTGGTAGAGGCGGAGGAATTGGGAGTATGGGATCGCATTCTTGCAGGAAGGTAGTGAGGGGAGGTGAAGTCCACGTAGCTGTGGGAGTTGATGAGCTTGAAATAGACGTCAGTTTCGAGGCAGTCACCAGAGATGGAGACGGAGAGGCCCAGGAAGGAGAGGGAGGTATTGGAGTTGGTCCAGGTGAAATTGAGGTTGGGATGAAAGGTGTTAGTAAAGTTGATGAATTGTTCAAGCTCCTCGTGGGAGCATGAGGCAGCGTCAATACAACAATGTAGCGGAGGAAGAGGTGTGGGATAGTGCCAGTGTAACAGTGGAAAAAGGCCTGTTCCACATATCCTACAAAGAGGCAGGCATAACTTGGGCCCATGCTGGTGCCCATGGCCACCCCCTTCGTCTGTGGGAAGTGGGAGGAGTTAAAGAAGAAGTTGTTCAGGGTAAGGACAAGTTCTGTTAAGGGAATTCACCAGTTTTTAAATCTTCCCACCCCAGGCCTCATCCCACGTCCAACCCTCCCTCTCATCCCCACCTCCTTGACCTGACACAACTTGTCCATCTTCTCTCCCACCTATCTGCCCCTCCCATCCCACTGAGCAATCCCCACCATTCCCTACCTGCACTCACCTATCACCATCCCACCTACCTTCCTCAGCCCCACCCCTCCTCTCTATTTATTTCTCAGCTCCCTTCCCCCTACCCCTCCCCATTTCTGAAGAAGGGTCCCAACCCAAAACGTCAACTTTCCTGTTCCTCTGATGCTGCCAGGTCTGCTGTGTTCCTCCAGCTTCACATTTTATTGTATCTGACTCCAGCATCTGCAGTTCTTGCTATCTCCTATCAGAATCACTGCTCTCAATTATCACTGAAACCATTCTGGTTTATCTTTTAAAGGACCTGCATTTCTAAGATTGTAATTGTTCCTCATTGGACTGGAAATATACTTATCAAGAACAACAATCTGAAAAATTTGATGTTGAACCATCTAAGGATATATTATTGTATTTGAGCCAAAAGTAGATCAATGAGGTAGTATTTAAGGAACATTTTAAAGGAGGTAGAAAGATGCAGAGCTTTAAGGAGGGAAGTCACAAGTATAGGACATAAGCAGCTGACTTCATGGTTTCCACTGGAACAATTAAAAGTGGGACACTCAAAAGCCTGCACACATTTTAGGGGCTCTTGATTGTCATTGGTCTTTTTTTCATCTTTGTCAGGGACTTGAGGTTCCATAATATTGCTCTTGCTACTTTTACACTTCTCTGAAATTTACTAACTGATGTGTACTCCTTTCTCCTTCTCTCTGGCCGTTTACAGAAAATACCCATCAGTTACATATTGTGTTTTTATTCCTTAAAAATAATCCAATACAGTCTGTCTTTAGACCCTCTAGTACTTTAGCAACCTGCAGAATTAAAGCATTTCCTCACATGTAATTCTGAATAAGTATAACATTATATATTCACAGGAGCTTACACAAGGCACACAGGGTTGAGATAGGCAGACTTTAAATCAGTAAGGAAATCCAAGGTTATTTGAAAAAGGCAGGAAAGTGGAGTTCAGGATTGTCATATCAGTCATGATCTCATTGAATGCTGGAGCAGACTTGAAAAGCCAAATGGTGTCAGTTTAATTCTATATATTATTGTTGTGTTTTATTTTGTCCATTTAAAGGCTCAATAACTAGCTGTGTGCAGTTAGAAGCAGTTGTAATAATGAGTGGATGACTCAGAATTTATGACTTGTGACTCTTTGAGCTTGAAGTCATTTCTGCAGACTATAAATGAATGTCAACCACCTCATGAAATCCTGACATATCTTAGCAAAGGCAAATGAGTCACTGGACAAAGGGCGGCTGTTGCAGAATGTGGGTGAATGCCAAGTGCACATATCTACAGTTTTGAAACAAGTTTTAAAGGCCTTGTTAGCAATTCCACATGAAGTTAGATAAAATCAAGAGTTTAATTTTTACTGGTAAAAGTTGGCTTCAAGGCACTTATGCTAACTCTACAAAACTCCTGTTCACTCAGCAAGATGAGGGTCAGTGCATGTGATATATTCTCTGTACATCAATTCATATAGTTTGAGCAGACTTCAGTCACCTACAGTTTTCATTTTTATGCATGACACAATAATACTTCCCTCATGCAACATGTTTTCCTTAAGAAGACAAGATAAAATTATTTCCTAGGCATAATTATATAGATCATCCAATTACACAAATGATTTTTACATTAAATTTGGAAAGCATACAGCACGCTGCAATGAATTACCATCTGGTTGTCTGTGAGGATGATACACATGGATATCCATTATCTGATGCCAGGAGCTGATTAGTGACATCTTGTTTAAACCTGTGGTTTTATGAGCACGGCTGACCGACTTAGTTTTCCAATCTGTCCAGTAAATGTAGTCTTCAAATAATGTCACTGCTAAAACATGTGGGATATCTTGGTTCTGAACTGCAATAGGATATGGATATATTAGTGTACTACATTGGAAGAATGCCAGCCTCAACATTAAATATTGCATGAACCATCAGATACAACTGAAACATAATTTTTTTATGAATAGCTGCTGTAACAATATACCAGCTCCCTATGGTTCTTCATTACCATTTTAAAGAACACAGAACAATGCATAAACTCTGTTATCTTGCAGTTTCACTTGGTCTAACACTTGACAGGAAATGAATATGCCTGCTTATAACAAAATCTTTGGAAATTCTTCAACATGAAATCACAATTTTATTTTCCTTTAGTTTTCTCTCTTCTGAAGGTGCCACATTGTAATGAACAAACTATCTTTAAAATGTTTTTAGAAGGGGGAGATGCTATCTTTTTTGGGTGCTCCATTACCATCAGGGACATACCCTACCTGCCCATAATTCAAAATCCATCCCCCGACTTTCCTCTTGCCCTCCCTAAGGTAGGCAAACGCTCCTTGCAAAAGTCCCTTAAATTATCTCACTCCAGAATGCCAGCATCCATTACAAGACATGGCTTTACACCATAGCAACTAATGGAACTTAAATTCAATTATTACCACACTCTGGAACATAAGGCTAATCTCAGTGATGATGCCACGAAATCATCATCAAACTTGTGAAACCCCATCTGGTTCACTAATGTCCTTTACTTGTCTTGCCTACATGCGATTCTAGACCCACAGCCTTAATGTTGACTCTTAACGGCTCTATAAAATGCTCTGGCAAGCCATCCAGTCCAAGGCCAATTTGTAATGGGCAACAAATGTTGGCCTTGTCGATAATGCCCATTTCGCATGAAGAAATAAACTAGAAGAAAATGACAGCTGGAGAGAATCCATGAATAATTTATTTCCCTTTACTTTTTTGATCTGTTTTGAATAACCTTTCACTGTTACCAGCTACTGACATTTTCTAGGTGTTAATAAACTTGGTACAGATTTGCTCTATTGAGCCTAAACATGCCTGATTATCAATTAACAGGTTGATCAACAATAAAATTCAAACACTCAGCTTGTCCTGCCTCGTAGATAATCTCTAGGCAGATATTTAACATGATTCTGTCTAGACAGCTATTTTTAAAAAATCTTTTTTCGACTTTCAGAACCTTTGTGGTCAGCGTCTTGAAAATCCCTTAATGAGAACAGTGAATTCACAAGACTGTCTTAGTTTCAAACAGAACATGTTACAGCAATCAATGATTGACCTAGGAATAAATTTTAATTCCAAGTAACAACAGCAAGGAAGAAAGCCTTGAGCATGCCTTTAAATCTGATATTTTAATTCCAGTACCAAATGTTGGCCCGAAATCAGAAGTAGTTTTTACAATACAGTGCTAGAGAACATAGAAGATATTTTATTCTGACCTTGTTAACATGTTTGAATTATAATAAATTCATGCAAATAGTGTTCAATTGCACCTTTCTCCACAGTGTATATTTATATATATGCAAAACTGTTGCCTTCACAGAGAAGATTTCTGTTATCCACCACAAGTGGATGATATTTTTATGCAATAAAAAGCAAGAGGAAAATCTGGGTCAGATAAAATCCTAATATTTTGTTAAAACACAATTGACTCATCATCGTTTGAGGAGCTAATATTGTCTTTTTGTGTGTACTCCCTCCTTCAGAACTATAATCTTTTTTAATCTGATCAGCATTTTTTGCATCTCTTCCAACCTCTGTCATCAGGCAGAAGATACAAAAGCCTAAACACATGTACCATTTTCAAATAGCAACAATATACGGTGCAACATGCATAGGAACATATAAATCAGGAGCAGGAGTAGGTTATTCAGTCCCTTGAGCCTGCTCTGCTCTTCAATAAGATCACGCTGATTGGATTATAACTTGAAATCCACATTCCTGCCTACCCTGATAATGTTTTAATCCATTGCTTAACAAGAATCTGTTTGCCTGCTTTACAAATTGTCAAGGACTCTGTTTCCATCATCTTTTCAGGAAAAGAGTTCCAAAGACTCATGAATTCCTGAGTGAAAGAAATTGCCTAATCTCTGTTTTAAATTAGTGACCCCTTAATTTTAAACAGTCACTTCTAATTCTAGAATCTGTCATAACAGGAAACATTTCTCCATATCTACCTTGTCTATTCCTGTCTGAATTTTATGTTTCAATTAAATCACCTCGTAAACTTCCAAACTTCAGGAAATACAAATCTAGCTTTTCCGATTGTTCTTCATAGGAATTGACTGAACTTTGTCTGAACTGTCTTCACCTGCCTCTCCTTAACTTAATTTGCCAACTGACTTTAACCAGCTCTATTTCATGATCTCATTATTGCCCTTATTTAAATGTCAAAAATGAGACTCAGACCTATTCCTCTCTCCCTCAATCTGAACGTAAAATGCAATCATATTGAGGTTGCTGCTACTAAGGGGGCTGCTTCATTATGAGATCATTAATCTTATCTTTTTGTAGGATAGCAGATCTAGTGTAGGCTAATCTCTGGTTAGCTCCAGAATTATGCTGTTCTAAGAAATTGTCCAGAAAACATTCTATGAACTCTGAATCTAGGCTACCTTTGCCCATTTGACTTTACAATTCTGAAAGTAGCTTAAAATTCTCATGATTATAGCCATGCCTTTCTGACCAGTTTTGTAATTCTTCCTTTATTCCACACCAGAATGTATGGTTACTATTAGGACATCCTGGGTAGAACTATCCTGAAATATTCGATCATATGCTGCAAGCTCTATAAGACTGTAGAGTTGTACAGACTGGGTTTGTTTCTGTAGCTCCCAAAATGACAAATCTACAGTTTGGCTGGACTGGCAAGTGACCCATGAGCAAAATATGGTGAGTCATCTCAAATGGAATTTTCTTGGAAAATAATCATTTTAATAAGGCAATCAAAATCCAACACACAGTTCATTTTAAATTTCTTTTTATTGTTCTCATTGCCTGAACTTCACCACATCACTATTCAAAGTAAAACTAGAAATAAATAGAATGTAACAGCAGAACACTTAAAAGTACATAATCGAACTAAGAAGAGTCAGCATAGTGTCAGGAAGGAGAACTCATTTTCAGAGAATTGTTTTGAGAAGGTAACAAGCAGGATAGATGAATGTGAAACAATTGATGTAATAAGTTTAGATGTCAAAAAGGCATTTGATAAAGTATTGCTCATTAGACTACTTAATAAGATAGTTGCCCATAGCGTTGGGGGTAGCATTTTAGCTTGGATAGAGAATGGGCTAACTAACAGAAGTTAGAGTGGGATAAAGGAGGCATGTTCAGGTTGGCAACCTATAACTGGTAGAGTGCAGCAGGGATCAGAGTGGGGCGGCAATTATTTAAAATATACATTTATTATTTGGACGAGGGAAGTGAAAGTACTTTGGCTGAGTTTGTAAATGCCACAAAAATCAATGGGAAGCCACGTGGTGAGGATGACACAGAATCTACAAAAGGATATAGACAGGCTAAGTGAGTGTGCAAAATCTTGGCAGATGGAATAAAATGTGAAAAAATATGGGTTCAGGTATTTTGGCAAGAAGAATAGAGGAACTAAATATGATTTAAATGGAGAAAGACTGCAGCAAGCTGCAGCACAGAGGGATGGGGGTTTCTCATGTATAAATCACAGGTTATAGGAAAGATAAATAGGCTGTTTGTCTTTATTTCAAATGAAATGGAATGTAAAAACAAAGAAGTCTTGATAAAACTATGTAGGACACTATTTAGACCCCACCTAGAATATTGAAAACAGTTTGATCACCTTATGGAAAGAAAATATACTGATATTAAAGGTAGTCCAAAGAAAGATGCTCAGGTTGATTCCAAGTATGGAAGGATTTTCTACATTGGGCCTGCAATCATCAGACTTAGAAGAATGACAGGTGATCTTATTGGAACCTGTAAGATTTGTAAGGGTAGATGCTAAGAGATTGATCACTTTTGTAGGCGAATCTAGGACAAGAGCGCATAATCTGAATGAAGGACTGCCCACTTTAAGAGAGATTGAGAGATTTTTTCTCTTGGAGGACAGTGAATCTATGATTTTTTTTAGCACCGATTACTAAAGAGGCTGGGTGATTGAGTATATTTGAAGCTGAGATAGACACTTTTAATGAGTAAGAGAAGCAAGGGTTTTTGGACAAAGGCATGAAAGTGGAGTTCAAGATTATCAGATTACCCATGAAATCATTGAATTCCAGAGCAGACACGATGGGCTAAATGGCCTACTTCTACGCCAACATTTTATGATGTGGAGGTCCCAGTGTTGGACTGGGTGGTCAAGGCCAGAAATCACACGATACCAGGTTGTCGTTCAATAGGCTTATTTAAAAACAACTTATGAAAGATTACTGGTTTGGGAGGATGACATGGGTGAGGGCCATTGATTGAACAAGACGCATGCAATAGTGAGAGATGGAGTCTTTGAGCTTTGGCATAAATTCTTTGCAATAGCAGAGTTAGAGTGAGTGCTGGCATTACGAGAGTGAGGAAGCACAGACAAGATGGTGGCACTTATCCTTATGGGGCATAGAAGATCATTGGCCTTTTTTCTGCACTGCTGGATATCTTGCCTTATTCATTTTACAACATTATATCATGTTGCAATCTATATCTAGCCTGGCTATGTCCGATGGTGTGGTCCACTGGGAAAAGGATTTCTTCTCCTCTGCAACACCCATCCACAAACACCTCCAGGTCTTTGTCTATGAAGTTGGAACTGTCTCTTCTGAGCCATGTCTTCAGTGATTAGACTCCAGCACAACAGTGTGCTGAGTTGTTCCTAGCTTGAAATATGGCTCCAAAGGCATGTGCAACAGAATGTCTCAGCTGTGGCAAGCACACCAAACACCTCAGCCATGTGAGTACCTGAGAAATATGCCCAAAAGCCAGTTGCATACTCAATAAAGTGAAGAGGGGAAGATTGCCTGAAAAAAAAACATTGCTATTGGCCATGGTGGACAGATCACCAAGAAACTCACTCATCGATATACTTTAACTGTGAATAGGAAAGTTCTGCCTTGTGTGTGATGCTGAAAGTATAAGTGTCAAGCTTAACCCAGCACTTTGAAGTTAGCCATTGTTGTTTCTGAGTTTCATTTTAATTTACTAGACCTGACTTTCATCCAATCCCAGTAACGGTTACTTCAGGTCAGCAGATAGGTAGAGCAGACACATGCAATTAATTAGTGTAGCCTCAGCTGTCAGGTAAGTGGTGGAAAGTGTAGTTGAACATAGATGAAAGAAGGAAACCAATGGCTCTTGTTGAAACTCAAAGCTTATAATTTAACTTGTAAAAAGTAAATTAGTTTTTCAGACTTCTTTAGGGTTGATGTTTCTTCAGTCCCACTGCTATGGGGATAATGCCACCAGATGTAGTTTCTTGCCGTTAAAATATTCTCAGGTCTAAATTACTTCATCAGATACTAACTTTTGAAAACTATTGAGACCCTCACCTACTTGGCTAAAGGTCACATTGATGGCCCAAACTATACTTAAAATGGTGACAGGCACAAACATGACATGATTGAGATAAGTCATTCATTGTTTTAATTGTGTATACATGTTGAGCACAAGGGCTATAATGCATAAACTTGTTTGAAGTTACAAAAAAAAACATTGAGATCAATAAAACTTCAAATCTTGAAAAATGAAATCTGTCTTAGAAGACCGCATAGTATTAGTAAAAGATTTTACTGTACATATTGACATCTTATAAAATTGCACATAGTTCAGACAATCAATTAATAATTGTATACATTTAGTTAGAAATATTTTAATTTCACTAGATTATTTAAATCGAAACATCAGTTATTTAATTTGAAGAGAACTTACCAAATTTATTATTAGCAAATTTCAAGAACAATAATGCTTCATTATTTGTTATGAGGTATGCTGAATTAAAATATATAAACAGAACAAAATAATTCAAAATGGGGGAGAAAAAACAGCCTTACCTACCTCTATGTCTTTTGGATCCATCCAGGTCAGCAAACTCTATAGAACCTTGCTCATCATCAGCCCAGTACAGCCTGTTATTCACATAATCCAGACAGAGACCACTTGGCTTTGAGATTTTTGTGTCTATGACAATGTTTTGATTAGTTCCATCCATTCCTACACGGCCAATATGTGGATAATCGCCATGGTCAGTCCAATATAAATATCTATTCAAAAATGTTTATTAAAAAAAAATTAAAACTGAATTCAAATATAAGAACAGAAAATACTGGAATCACTCAGCATTGTCAGGTAACTCTTGTTTACTTTGCAATTTCATTCCATGAATCATGTTTGCCCAGACAGTGGGTGGAATTTGGAATTGCTACCATGTAGGATCATTGAGGAAAATAGTTTTGATGTATTTGAAGGAAAGTAAGACAAGCCCATGAGAAGAAAAAGAATAGAATGATATCCTGTTAAAGTGAGGTCAGGTAAGAGAGGAGGACAAATAAGGAAGTACAAACAATGGCCCAGACCTGTGGTCTGAATCTTATGACATTCAATGCAGTTCTAACCCCGACAGCAAAGAATATGGCATCAAATGTTAACCCAGCATTATCTTTTCATAGATGGAGATAATAGGTACTGCCGATGCTGGAGAATCTGAGATAACAAGTTGTAGAGCTGAATGAACACAGCAGGCCAAGCAGCATCAGAGGAGCAGGAAAGCTGACGTTTCGGGTCTAGACCCTTCTTCAGAAATGGGGGAGGGGAAGGGGATTCTGAGATAAATAGAGAGAGACAGGGAGCAGCGGATACAGTATACTACATTAGTAGATGTGCAGGTGAACATCTGCTTGATGTGGAAGGTCTTCTTGGGGCCTGGGATGGGGGTGAGGGGGGAGGTGTGGGGGCAGGTGTAGCACTTCCTGCGGTTGCAGGGAAAAGTGCCGGGTGTGGTGGGGCTGGTGGGGAGTGTGGAGCGGACAAGGGAGTCACGGAGAGAGTGGTCCCTCCGGAAGGCAGATAAGGGTGGGGAGGGAAAAATGTCTTTGGTGGTGGGGTCAGATTGTAGATGGCGGAAGTGGCGGAGGATGATGCGTTGGATCTGGAGGTTGGTGGGATGGTACGTGAGGATGAGGGGGATTCTGTTTTGGTTGTTATTGCAGGGAGGAGGTGTGACGGATTAGTTGCGGGAAATGCATTTTCGACATGTGGAGGAGATTTTGCGGTCCTTGAAAAACGAGGACATCTGGGATGTCCGGGAGTGGAATTCCTCATCTCGGGAGCAGATGTGGCGGAGGTGAAGGAATTGGGAATAGGGGATGGGATTTTTGCAGGAAGGTGGGTGAGTGGAGGTGTATTCTAGGTAGCTGTGGGAGTCGGTAGGCTTGAAATGGATATCGGTTTCTAGGTGGTTGCCAGAGATGGAAACAGAGAGGTCCAGGAAGGAGAGAGAGGTATCGGAGATGGTCCAGGTGAACTTAAGGTTGGGGTGGAAGGTGTTAGTGAAGTTCTTCTCCTCGCCCATTTCTAAATAAGGGTCTAGGCCCGAAATGTCAGCTTTCCTGCTCCTCTGATGCTGCTTGGCCTGCTGTGTTCATCCAGCTCTACACCTTGTTATCTTTTCATAGATGTTGCCTATTGAGAAATTGCTGGATAATCTGTGGAGAAAACTGATTCTGAAGAAGGATCACTGCACCCAACATGTTGACTGATTTCTCTCCACAGATGCTGCCAGACCTCCTGAGATTTTCCAGCATTTTTTGTTTTTGTTTCAGCTTTCTAGCATCTGTAATTCTTTGGGTTTTTTGGTACATATAAAGAAACCTTTTACTTCTGGCATCATTTCTACAGAAGCTTACGGTATATTTTATGCAATTTGTCACATGTGACAAGATTGAAGATAAAAATATAATGATGATCTAGAACAAAATAGCAATGCTGCAGGCCTCAATAGGGCAATGTACTTAAACAAAAGGCAAAATAAATGATTTGAATAGATTTGTTGCCAGTGTAAACCTACATCAATAGTCTTTTGTTTTAACTTATTCATTCACAGGATGTGGGCATCTCTGACTAGGTCAGCATCTTTTGCCCATCCCTAACTGCCAGAGGATGGTTAAAAGTCAACCACATTGTCTGGAGTCGGTAGGTCAAATCAAGTAAGAGCATTAGTGATGCCAGATAGATTTTTTTCCTGATCATCATCAATGGATGCACAGTCATCATGAGACTCTTAATGAATCCAAATTCCACAAAATGCCATGGCAGGATTTGAACCCAGGTCCCCAGAACATTACCGAGGTTTTCAGATTAACAGTCCAGCGATAATACCACTCAATGGTTGCCTCCCATAATATGAACAACAGTATGAATGATAATTCCTGTAGGAAGTTGACCTTTCAGCTTAAAATGGAAACTATAGGAAAATAGTACACAAGTGATGTTTTGAATTGTACATCACAATAGCTGAGTCTCACAGTTAACTCAAACACTGAGAGACTGAAATGTTGACAGCAATCCTCTGCCACGAAACCCTTAAGCAGTGGTTCAAAATTTACAGGTTTCTTTTATTAAATGTTAGTATTATTTTGTACCTTGATTTACATACACAGGTTTCTTTGTTTCAGGATTAGGTGTGACTCAGCCTTTGTGAAAACATTTTGAAAGCTTTAACAGCAGCATAAATGGTTATGTTCATACCCAGTGCGAGGATCTATCACTAGGTGTTTCGGGATCTTCAATCCTGTGTTCACAAGGACTGTCTGATAAAGCCCATTAAGTTTTGAGACTTCAATAGTCAGCTTTGTTTTGTCGCACCAATATAGATTTTTGCCAATCCAATCAACAGCCAATCCATCTGGAATAGCTTGTCCTGTATGGTGCACCACCTAGCAAGAAAAAAAAACAAATATTAGTGCTGACTAACACTTTTGCCAAAAGCAAGAACACATTTTTAATGAAAGAGTAATACAATGAGTAACAATGTAGCAAACACTCGTACCTTCAAAACAATTTTAGTTTCTAGGTACAGCAAACATATGTAGAACAAATCAAATAGAACTTTAACCATTGTACTGGATATTCAGATTTAAATAGAGACAGTGAGAGGTTGTGAAAATGTGTTGTTTTGAAAGGTTGCAAATGGGTGCCAAAATGAAATTCAGTAAGTTGAGAAGGCTGATAGAAATCAAAGAATATGCAACTAAAACTTTTGTTTTTGTCGAGCTGTATTCAAGATTTTTAGCAATTCCAAATCAACTGATTATAATCTGCAGAAAATGAGAAATGTTCAACAAGAAAAATTGTAAATGATGCATCATGAGATCCAAAATTTGCATTTTTGTCAGGTTCATTAAAGGTTGCAGCCAATCTGTTTGACTGATGGCTCTGTAGTGATGGAAGTGCCAATGACAACAGTGGACTAGACAAGGACTATGTAGTGTCTACATTCTAGTCTTAGAATCCAGGGTCAGGTAATTGCTGGGGTCACATGATGAGGAGGAGTGGTAAGGTCTTGGGACTCTGGGGACCTTAACAGTGAGGCAGGAGATGGCAGAGTATCTGTCAGTAGAAACCTGGGGACTGTGTCCAATGTGAAAAGGAAGCTCTTGAGGGACTTGGCACCTGCTTTCCTTTCAAAACCTCAGCAATGACCTGCCAGGCTTGCCCCTTACCCCCTCTTAAGGCTAGGTGTGTAGAGTCTCATTTGGATCAGTGGCCATTCTAGACCTTTCCTTCCCCACGTAAAATTGTGAACTGTAAAATTACACCATATAATTATTGTAGCATAAATATTCTGCCTTTGATTTGCTGATCATCACAATCGTACTCCAAATAAAGGCTCCATCAAAATTCTCAAGAAAAAATAGCCTATTCACGTAACTGCCCATCCAGAGTATGTATCATCTCTCCTCTGCAAGGTTAGTGAGTGTAGTCAGGAACAGCCCAAATGTCTGCACCACTTCTCCTAATTACTATGCAAATTCCACCCACTGAAACAAGGCTACCATGTGAATTCTGGTATAAAGCAGCACATCCATATTGCTGAGACTGATACTACACTAAGGAGCCTGACAAGGTTGTGATATGAATTCATTGAGACTTTGCCAGGTCATCATCAATTTGCTGTTACGGAGCTCCTGTGAGCATGCTTGCTGCTATATGGCATGAGTACTAGAGAAATTTTGTTGTTGCAGCAATTGGTATCCTTGGTGAGGCAGAATGCTCCAGGTTCGAGTCCTGTGTTGACTGCAGACGAACACAGCCACTGGTGCAGTGGATGCTGTCATGTGTCATGTGTCTGTATCAGTTCCAGTGGGGTGAGTTGGCAGCATGAAGCACATCTGGCTATAACATCACCCACCAATTCCAAAAGAATAATGGTTGATATGAAGAGTGATCAACCAGCTTTCTGATAGCCCAAAAAAAATGCAAAAACTTTGAAATGGAGAGAAAGAAATGGACATTGTAATAGAAAGAGATTAGACTAGAAGAATTTAGAGTGAGATATTTGCTGTCAACACATAGCTATCTACTCAATAGAGCTAACAGAGCCAAAAGGACACCTTAAGATTTATTTGTCCACCATTTTTGTTTTTGATGCAATATACACATTATTCTTCAAAGGAAATCTTTATGTACATACACAGTTAATGAAGCAGTTCATATCAATGCTCTCTTTACTTACAGAGAATAAAATAAACATTGGCGTTCGCCTTCTCTATATTTGCAATTAACCTCTTGGCTTTTAGCTGAAGCATCAGCAGTGTCCAGTTGTTGAATGGACCCCCATTATGCTTTGGCAGAAGGTCACGACCCTCTTTCCTCATTGCACCTTGGTGGCAGCTGCCCCGGGCTTTAGTGCATCCCTCAACACGTAGTCATGTACCTTGGAATGTGCCAGTCTGCAATACTTCAGTCGGGATAAACTCTTTCAACTGGAAGACCAGCAAGTTTCGGGCAGACCAAAGTGTATCTTTCACTGCTAGATGGTCCTCCAGGCACAGTCAATGTCTGTCTTGGTGTGAATCCCCAGGGAACGAACCGGAGACAACAGAGTCCTGCATCACGGAGCTGATCGGGATGAACCTTGACAAAAACCAATGAATTTCTCTCCAGATTGCCTTTGCTCATGCCCATCAATACCTCAAAAGGTTGTTACTCTTTTAAGGTTCTCGAGAGCTTCAACCATAGTTGAAATTCTATAGCCCACTTCTCCCAGGAAAACACAAATGTCTAATAGTGACTCTGATGACTGTCTTGATTTTATTTGGCAGTCAAACATCTTTCATGGCCTTTTCGGCCCTTTTGATATTTAACTAATTTACCATTATAAATTAAATCACAGTATTGTAGTAGCTGTGCAATTTACCATCTTTTCCGTACACTGAAAAGCAAAACAGAGTAAAATCTACACATTTATCAAATGTTACAAGAACAAGAAACAACTAACAGTACAGATTTAGCCTTAAACTTTCCATAAAACAACCGTGTCATTTTAATTTTTCGGTAAGCTTCCTTCAATAGCCAATCAATATATTGAAACACTGTGTCATTGCTTTGAACCATAAATGATGAGATGCCATTTTCATACAACAGTGAACCGTGCCAACATTGAAGATGCACTTCCACGTGTCAGAATAGTTTATGTTATGATTGCAAATTTACTCTGAAGTCATTCGCTATGATTACACAGATATTTGAAATGTTGTTTTAGGCACATGAATAAATCTAATGCAATTCTGCAAAATGGTGCAATCAGATTCTTTGAAATCTCTGCAACTTGCTGTCTCACTCTGTGTGATAAGCTTTCATGTTACTTCCAATGTGTACAGTCTTGCCTCGATAGAATACAGAAAGGAAAATTTGGGAGGACAATAGTGGTATCCCTTCAAAGAACCCACTGCATCTGCCATCCTTCATTTTGGAAAATCACTGAAAATGCCTCCTGAATTCCTGGAATCATAGGGCATGGCTTCAGAGTAAATTTGTAATCTCCTGACAAATTTTCCTTTTTATTCTGTCCATATGATGCTAAAAACCCAGGTATTCAAGTTGAAAATTTACTTAATTTTTACTTGCGTGGCAGAAAATTTTGCAACTTCCTTACGCTGAATGAGATGAAGATAGGAACATAGAAGTGGGCCATTTAGTCCACCTGGCATCAGTAATCATGGCTAATCAAACACTTCAATGTCTTTTACCTACTCCATCCCCAAAACCTGTATGCCAGTGGTAATTAGAAATCTATCCAATCTCCACATAAACATACTCAGACAGAGCTTCTACAGCCCTCGATAGTAGAGAATTGCAAAGTTCACAAAGCTGTAATTGGAAAATAAAACCTTATATCGAGCATAACAAGCATCACTTAATTTTTAAATTAAGTTCGCTGGCACTGAGGGTGCTTGACAGTGTTGATGCTCATAGAATTTTCCCCCTTATGCAGAAATTTAGAATTTGGCATGGTTTGCCAGTTAAGATGACGATGAGGAGGAATTCCTCCTCTGATTGTCATTCATCCTTGGAACTGTGCAACCCAGGAAATAATGCAAACTAGGTCCTTAATATGTTCAGGGCTGTGTCAGAAAGTGAGTTAAAGGTTACGGAGGGCAGGTAGGAAAGTGAAGCAAAGGTGACAATTACATTAAACATGACCTTGTTGAGTGGCAGAGCAGGCTTGAGTGACCAAATTGCATTCACTGCTTATTATGTTCTTGTATTCTTATGAAGACGAGGGATGTTTTTTCCTGAAAAAGTATGGCTAACCTGAAATGTATCACATTCATTTTGAATCTCAATCTAAGTAAGGGAAGATTTTATGACTATATTATCTATTAGGAATGAAAACATTCCTCCCAACACAAAATAGGTATTGAAGTTTTAAAATATTACATTGTTAATTCTTCAATAAACAGTCCAATAAATCCAGCTAGTGATATTCAGGTGTAAAACCATGAAGTTTCAAGTGTTGGTTGCAGCAAAGGTTTCAGCTGGAGCTCATGGCAATCTTCATTCAATCAATTAACATCGTATCCAATGACAGAATTGCCAAATATCACTCCTGATTCCCCAAAGCCTGTCCAGCATTTACAAGGCACAAGTCAGGAGTGTAATGGAATGTTCCCCACTTGCCTGGATGAGTGCAGCCCCAACAACACTCAAGAAGCTTGACACCATCCAGGAGAAAACAGGCTGTTTGATAGGCACTACATCCACAAGTATCTATTCCCTCCACTGCCGACGCTCAGTAGCAGCAGTGTGTACTATCTACAAGATGCAGTGCAGAAATTGACCAAAAATCCTCAGGCAGCACCTTCCAAACCCATGACCACTTCCATCTAGAAGGACAAGGGCAGCAGACATATGGGAACACCACACCTCCAAGTTACCCTCCAAGCCACTCACCATCCAGACTTGGAAATATATCGCCGTTCCTTCACTGTCACTGGTTTAAAATCCTGGAATTCACTCCGTAATAGTATTGTGGGTCAACCTACAGCAAGTGGACTGCAGCGGTTCAAGAACGCAGCTCACCACTACTTTCTCAAGGGCAACTAGGGATGGGCAAGAAATGCTGGCCAGCCAGCAATGCCACATCCCATAAATGAATACAAAAAAACCCTACAATATCAGTTATAACAAGGACACTTAACAGGTCTTTTGACATCTTCTTCTGGTTCTTCCAGAGATTTTTCAAAGGTTAATATACATATTATTGATTAATATCTCCAAAAGCCAAATGATGAGCAATATATTCAGATTCTGATGCTACTATCTTTATAAAAAAATAGCTAAAGTAGGCACAGCACATGCTTTGTCTGTAAGCATTTGTTTCTGTTATAGCTAGTCAGTGGTGCTGAAAGTGTCTTGTTGTGAGTGCAGTTCA